TCCCTAATAAAGATGGAGTGGATAAGCCCCAAAACACTGACTCTCTTACCAGAATCTTAGGAAAAAATAAGGCAATAAAAGATAAATCTGCAAGTTCTAGGTTAACAACATTATGTTAAGAGTCTTTCTTAAAAATCTTCCATAATTATCCAAATAACTATAGAAACAGATAAAGATATATGAGCTAAATGTTCATTCATTCACCCATTAAACACTGAAGGCCTGATATATACTAAGGATTATGCTAAATGCTATACAGCAGGGAGAGAAGCTAGAGTCAGACAGACAGATAATTAAATCACGCTGTGATCAGTGCCATAACAAGTACTTGGGGAGCATACAGGGAAGCTTCTAACCCAGAGGCATGCTGGGGTGGGGTAGGGGTGAGTAAGGTATGCTTTAGAGCAGGTTTTCTCTTTTTGTAGTGAAATATTACATATAATTTCACATCATACTAGATGCTTTAATCTCTCTTTGATGAACCAGAAGGCTCTGGATCTTATGGCATATTAATGAGTCACTGATTATTCAGTAATTAATAAATTCTTTTTCAACCACTTTAGTGTGGAAAATGTGGGAATTTATTTTTATACTTCAAAAAATAAAAAGAAAATAACCACATAATCATTTAACATGCAACCAATATTACTCATACAAAACAAAAATATTCAATTATGCTACATGACATTAATGCATAAATAGCAAATCATTCTCATAAGTGAAAATAATATTTTTACACAGCCAAAAATAGCATTCTAGGGTTACAGAATAAGAAAAGAAAAGAAAAAATCCTAGGGCCCTATATCCTAGCACCCTATCCCAAGAACTAAAAGTAAGTAAAACAGATGGGGCTCTCAGAAGTCCAAAGTTTGGGATACTACTCTAAGAAGTTTGATTATAACACTCAATAAGTGGCTAAAACAGAAGGTATCCTTTTATAAGATAATGAACAGCAAGAGAAAGGTCTCTTCTAGAAATACCATTAACATTCAAAACTGTTCAGTTTAATCAAACTGCTTTCCTGAAATGGAGAATTTTAATGGGAGGCAGGGTATGAAAAACAATTTAGGAACATAAAGCATTCCAGAGGTAAGCTGGCGAACCACAGGTGATGTGCCACATTATGGAGCACAAAAAGGTTAAGACCTCTAAGGCCTCAAAATCTGGGAAGAGAATAACATAAAAGAAGTGAACAACAAAAAATGATGATATGAATATTTGGACTATTCTCTCCCTTCCTCTGGACTCAAATACTAGAAGAGTAAGCAGAAACAGGGTTCCCTCTACCCTTCCCATTGGCTCACAGAGTGAGCAGGCATTATGATATTAAACAAGCAAGCATAAACCATATACTACTAACAAGTCTTCAAATGTTTTACGGCCTGCATACATTTATCTTATTTAGCAAGGACAGACAATAAGAACAGAGTAAATGTCTCTCAAGTTTAAACAAATATCAAGCTATTTCTTAAAATCTGAGACAAAGCTAAAATTCAACTTCTTTATATGTTATCTAAGAAAATATGACCAATGTTATCTGTGCAAGGCAAAAAACTGCAAACCTAACTCCATCTAGCCAGCTCTCCAAAGCAAAAGCAAATGTGAGGCTTTCAGAGACGATAACTGCCAAAAAATCTCAAAATCCTAAAAAGGCAGCAACGACCTTGCCTTCCTATGTGAAAGAGGCCATGTCTGCACTCCTGATGAGCCATTATCAAAATCAATTTTGATGATTTCAATGATCTTTTAATACATGCTGTTTCCATAATCTTTGAGAAAATCTCAGTTTTCATGATGATCTTAACACAACTGAATAGGAATGTGAGTATCTATAGTCCTTTTAACAGGAGGACTGAGACTTTTGCAAAATAAAAGCTACAAGTCCTCCAAGAGACTAAATATAAAGCTTGGGAAATAAAGCATTTGCTACCAGAAATAGCACAGTAGCATGCTACAGGTCATATGTAATCATTACTACTGAGGATGAGAGGCAAGTCTTCGAGAAAAATTTTAGTCAAGAAGTAAGGATGCTAAATTGCACCAAATTGCCTCTACCACATTGAATTTAACATTTATAAAATAAATTTTCATGAAAAATTCTAGCTAATGATATATAACAGAAGAAACTTTTTTCTTTCTACCTAAATTTGAGTGGCATAAAGGTAATTTTCCTCCACATAACTAGTTATGTACATCCAGATGTAATATTTAGATCGTGGCCCCGTATTTGCAAAATAATGTTGCTTTATGTAATATAAAAAAGGCACAGCTGTGGATTTTTCCTATACATTTATTCTGGGGCTTCTTGGTAGTAATACTAATGAAGTTAATCCTTTCCTGAACACAAAAATCAGGGCTCTCTGACTCTCCTGCAACATGTTGAAGGATGGGTTCTGTCAACAGAAATAAAAATGTAAGTGTAACTAAAGTTATAAGATAGATAGTTTTAAAACTTTACCATCTTGCTAGTAGTCAAGACATCTTGCTGTATCTTAAGATACATTTTACAGTTTCAATGAATATGTTCAGATAAAATTGATGACATTCATTTTAATTTAGTATCTCAGAAGAAATACAGAAATGTAGTATCTGTGTAATAATAGATGGCTTATTACTATTCATGAATTTTTTTATCAAGGGACTGGATCCAATAAACATATCTGATAGAGACATAAGATACACATGAATATATAATATTATAGTTCTCCAATGCTTTTTCATTAAACACACATGATTTAGTAACACTGTCAGAATGAAACATGATTATGCTGTCTAATAACAACTTAAAATTAATATTCAGTCATCAACGTTTTAAAACATAATATATTTTCTGATTAATTTACTGAAAACTTTCAACAAAAATTAGCAACACATCAAGTACAAAAAATTTTTGGGGCTGGCTCAGTGGTGTAGTGCTTAAGTGCGCACGCTCCGCTTCAGTGGCCCAGGGTTCATGGGTTTGGATCCCAGGTGTGGACCTAAGCACCGCTTATCAAGCCATGCTGTGGCAGGCGTCCCACATATAAAGTAGAGGAAGATGGGTACGGAGGTTAGCCCAGGGCCAATCTTCTCAGGAAAAAGAGGATTGGCAACAGATGTTAGCTCAGGGCTAATCTTCCTCACCAAAAAAAGAGTTTTTAAATTATATCTTCTGCCAAGTTAGATGGACATTGCTAGCAGTAAAGTAGCATATTCCTAAATTTGGCAGGCCAATTAAAGCCAGCCTGATAACTCTTGCAACTATAAGAAGGTCACAGTGATCATACCTTTATAGTGAATTCCCAGAATGGGCACATACAAGATTAAGGGGAAAAAAATCTGATGATAAGAAACTACTAAGGTGAAAGTACACAAGTGTATGTTGAACGCTATGATGGGGCAAGGAATGTAGACTACAGGATAAAGTAAAGTCAAATGAAAATATTTGAGAAATACATATTTAAACAAAAATTTCTCTGCTTCAACCTTCATGTTTAATGTTTTCCTGTCTGCTAAAACAACAGAAATCATCAGTTTTCAATAAAACATCTCTTTGTGGTCTTCAGACTTAGTTACCACCTATTTCAAACTTCTCATCTCTAGATTTAATAGTCTTCACACAGTCATTTTCACATAGACTAAGACTTCACATTATACATTAACAAAATATTCTCATCACATGAAAATAAGATTTTTCCCCCATCCATTCCACTAAAGAGTACACTTTGAGCTCTTTCCACAATAATAAAATTTGCACATGCATAATTTAATAAATATTTTAAAAATAGGAACTCAGCAAGAGTTCCTATTTTTCTCTACGTGAAAAATGTGGCTCATCTCTATGTTCCCAGCATGAGCCACAGCTCCTGGTATGCAGAAGATAACAACTACTGTCTTTATCTACATCAACACCACCACTGTTTCTCATTTTTAACATCTGTAAAATATGGCTACATCTTACAACTGACAATGAAGCATAGCTTAACTGGCAGCGCTTTTCTTAATCACAAAACAATGATGCCTTTTACAAAAGATGTTGTTTTAGATTAGATTAAATAGCGATAAATGTTAAATTTAATTGAACTGAATTAAACCAAGGTGAAAGTGTGTTGTCTGTCCACCATATCAAGTCTCAGGAAACCAAAATTCAGGTTTTTTGATTCATTCTTTTATACGTTAATCTGTTTACAAGCTTGCATTATTATATAGAATTAATAGGTTATACTTTTTAATTATCTTTAAAAACAACCCAAGTACTACCTCTTTTCACTGGAATGTTTAATCCTTTTACACTTAGTAATTACTGATAGGGAAGGACTTACGGTCGCCATTTTGTTAATTGTTTTCTGTCTGCCTTGTAGCTTTTTTGTCCCTTACTTCCTCTCTTAAGGTCTTCCTTTGTGTTTCATTGATTTTTTTTTGTAGTGAAACACTTTGATTCTCTCATCATTTTCTTGTGTGTATCTTCTGTAGGTATTTTCTTTGTGGTTACCATGGAGTTAACATAAAACATCTTATAGTTATGATAATCTATCCTAAGCTGATAAAAAATAAACTTTTATCACATATAAAAACTCTACACTTTTACTCCCCCCAAACACACAATTTGCTATTGATGTCACATATCTTTTTATATTGTGTATCCATTAACATATGTTTACAAGTAGTCATTCTTTTATACTTTTGTCTTTTAACTTCTATGCCAGAATTAAAAGTAATTTACATACCATCATTACAGTATTATAGTACTCTGTATTTGTCTATTTACCTTCTCTAGCCTATTTTATACTTTCATATGCTGTCATGTTGCTGTTTAGCACCTTTTTCTTCATTTATTCTTTAGAATCTAAAGACTATACTTGTTTCATAAATAAAGATGGCCAAAAAATATGCATCAGTGTTGTTTAGCAATTATAAATCAGAACCAAGCTTCTAAGACTTAGGGTGCTGAAAGAGCTGTGTTCCTGAAACCAATGAAGCAGTTCCAGTCCATTAAAATCTTGACCCATTTTAATACCTACCAGTTCCTTTGCTTAGATATGGAGGCTTAAAGAACTTCACAACACCATAGACATTGACAATCGTACCACTCTTAAGCTGATTCAGAGGTGTATATACATAATGTGTTGCTGGAACCTAAAGAAAGAGAAGACAGTGAACATATCAATATTAAATATTTACATTTTAGAATCATGTTATGATCAAATTTATAAATTAGAAAACCCATTTAACCACCTTTTTCCCAAGTATCTAAAAAGAGGCTGTAGCCTGAAAAAAAGGAAATGCACAGCTAATAAAGGTTACTATATAAATCAACTAGTTTTTCTTCAAAATAATTTTCATTATAAATGGTGTAATTTGTACACAATTATAAGAAATGCGGTTTTAGTTCTGGTTTTTAACCTTAATTAAGATGACTTCAAAACTTACAGTATATATTTCTTTTTTTTTTTTCTTACTCTATAAACATTTTGCTTAAGTTGAAATAAAGCCAGGTTTTGATTTATAAATGGTATAAAGACATTAAAAATGGTAATAAGAGAAAAGAAAAATTTTCTGAGATAACTGTGCGTAAGTTTGGGAAAAAAAGGGAAAGTGATTTACAAGGATATGTCTGCATATTAGTCAAACAATCCTAAAAGGGTTCAGATATCTGGCGCCATCACCCACCCATCCCCTCAATTGGAAATAAGGTTTCCTATCACACTAAGAGTTAAAATTTTAAAAATCAAATCAAAATGAATGAATTGACTTTTTCAAAGAAGCTGATCCCTCACGTCAAACACAAGACAGGCAGGGCTTAGAAATTTCATCAAACTTTGATATAAAAGAAGTTGTAATTCATCAATGATGAAAAAATAATGGTCAGCATATGGGACAGAAAAGAGAAGATATGTACTCAGCTGACAAAATAACTGGACCTAATATACTATCTTAACAAGTATCTCCCTAATGTAGAGATGAATGGGGAGGGCCAGTACAGCTCAATGACCCTAACCACTATGGTCATCCAAGTAACATACCTGTTAATTCATGACAAACAAACAACTTGATTATAAGTTGGCTTTCCACGTAAAGGAGCCTGTGTATGTGTGCACAGCTGCTAAGTTATATTCTAATAGTTCAGAATACCTGAGCTTTATGAAAAACCTTTTTGCCAAGTTCAGAAGTTCTTTGGTTTACTTCTGCCTCATTTACGGGTTCATAGACATATCAAGTATTTGAAGTTGACCAATCTATAACAATTTGAGATACTAATACTTGGGGCTAATTCACATTTTTTAAAAAGTACATCAATCCTTTTATTGGTTACAGTTTTCCTAAATAACAAATTTAAATTACACTATTATACCAGTATTCCAAATTAAAATCTGTATCCTGTAGTCATCGTCAACTAGAACCAAAGTCCCTACACTCTGTCTGTCCATTAGAAACTAAAGGTTTAAGAACATAAGTAGAACACAAACTTTATATTAAACTTTATCAATATATTATCTTCTTTCCATTTTCACTCAGCTACAGGTAGCTCACCTGTAAAAATGGGAACCTTCCTATCGCTATGAGAGAAAATTTCATAAAACATTGAAAAAACTGGTAAAAAAAAAAAAAAAAAGCAAAATGTAGCACAACTATACTAAACTTCCTTACTTAAAATGATAAAATTTGTCAAATTACAATTCAGCACATAATAATCCGTTTAAATACAAGCTGAAGAAAAAAATAAAAGAAATAAATTTGCCTGAGATTTAAAACTCGTAAAAATCCCAGGGTCCTCATACAGTAAAATTTTTTTGCCATTTTAATTTTCCTGTGTATGTAGCTTATGCAAAATATCAGCAGATATTCCAGACAACGGAATAGCCAAATATTAATTACTAGGTAAATATACAACTTGAATGTAACATTATCAGATATGAAAAAAGTAGAGGTTACATTTCCCCATTATACTGATAGTATTTCAAAATCAGACTATAAAGTGGATCAAAAATATATTCGTATGTACATATATATTTGTATATACATGTGTGTATCTAAATGTGAGTGCATGTGTGGGGGTGTGTGCACATATTCTAAATCAAACCGAATATCATCTTACCAAAGACATTGATTCTGTAGAAAAATCTCTTACGGATTTAACATAAACCTGGAAAAAAAAAAGAGAGGGCTTTTTAATACACAAATGACCTCCAATGTGATTACAAACTTTTAATTTTCGTAAAACTACACACTTAACTGTATAATATTCAAATTCACTAGAATGGCATAAAGTTATGGCTTACAAATTAAGAGTGACATGTGCAAAGCTGTCTAAGCTAAGTTTCAGTCTAATTCAGACTGAAGCTTAATATCACAGGACCACCACTAGCCCATATAATGCCTTGGTGTCTACTAGAAAAAACCAGGCAGAAGTTGGCCTGTAGACATACGACTTGGCCCAACTTGACTTCTCTACTGACAGCCTTGACCAAATAGGTAGTTTCCTAGTGTGTGTGTGGGGGGGGAGGCGGGGGGCGGTGAAGAGGGAGAGAGAAGATGAATATCTTCATAAAGAATAAAATAGGAGGAAACCAGTTTTACCTAAAAAGGGGTACTTGATCAATTTAAAATGAAATCAAGTAGATCATCAAAAGAGGCTGATGGTATAATTGCAAAACACAAGATCAGGTCTAGAGTGTCTGTGAAGGTTTTTTAAATTTCATTAACAAATATCTTTAAGGTGTCTTTCTTTTCCACCTGGAGTCATCCTAAACATAAAGCCAAGAAAAGAATTTCTACTTTTTAAAGTAAAATACTCAATTAATATAATTTCATCAGACTAAATAGGTTATCTGCAGATTTACAGAAAAACTACTTCTATTCCATTACTTTAGCTCCTTAAAACTACAATATGATTAGAGACTAAAAGTTATACACTTACATAAACAGTTGATGTTAAGTCCTCAAATGCTTTCAAAAACAAACATTGTTTATCATCTTTGCTTGTAGATGCTGTTGACAAAACAATAAATCCAGCCAGTGCAATAGTGTCCTACATAGGAGAAAAGGGTTTTCAGTCATCAAAATATCTATCATTCTGAATGCCATATAAATCTTGATTTTTATTGGTATTTAAAAATAGGAATCATTGCTATAAAATGGAAAACTGGTTAGCCTAAACTTGTTTGATGCTTTCTACATACAAGATTGAGACTACCACCTCCTCTGAAAGGGTATTTAACAATGTAGCGTAGGATGAGTATAATGCCCCATCCAAGAAAACACTAACTAAATCACTTAGAAAATTTTATTTAGTGGGACTTCGAAAATCAATGTTTATCTCAATTTATGTAAGTCTGCATGAATAAACACAATAGAGAGATAACAGATGATCCAACAGTATTAAGAATGGAATTTAAACGAAGCCAAATCTCAGAGTTGAGAAACTACATTGAGAAAAGCATGTCACTAGTGTAAAAATTCCACATTGTTATAAAGTTATACATATATAAATTTATATATATACAACATTTATATGTTATATGCATATAAATCCGGGGCATCAGACATAAATAAGAAATTTCCAATTATATACTAATAAGAACAGAGATATTTTCTTTCTACTTAGGTTTATAATAGTAGTAAGCAGCCATTCGCTATTTATCCCTGCCTCTCTTGTTCTTTAGTTAAATCTTCCTTTTCTTATTTTCCAAATAGTGAAACATACAAACTCAACGAGTTGTGTCCTGCTGCATTATATATATTTTTTATCTTACTGCTCTAATTTTACCCAAAAATCTTAAGATATATGAAAATTGCTGGGCTTTAGGCAGCTTTGTTCAACAATCTTAATTTCTACCAAGTGGAAGTCTTCTGCATTACTGATTTTCCTTTGCACATACAAGGGTCTGGTGTCAATCCCCAGGATTCTCTAGCTAGATCCATTAACGAGGCTGTGAGCACCCTGATGACAGAGGTCATGTTTCACTCTGCTTAGTATTTACAGGCCTTGGTACAAACGAGGCTCTCCGTAATTACACAAAATTGTTGGTGAATCAAAGGAAGGATCTTATATTTATATTGCCTTTCTAAAATCTCTGGCCCTATCCAGATATTTCAGCTCTGCAAATGTCTGCATTTTGTTTTCTTCAAGTGAGACTACAAATATAATTGTGTCTGTGCTAATAATGCTAAATAGCCACAACTCTTCATAGTCAAATGGGAGAAAATTTTCCCTCTCACTGAAGATTTTTCTATGTTTCTACCATGTGTTAGGCGGTTTTAAAGGGAAATAAAATAAACAGTAAGACTGCTTCTGGAACAAATTACTTTTAAAAACCGAAAAATATGCAATGCTTTCAGTTTACCTCAGACCAATACATTCTGATTTAAATGAACACTTAAGATTTCAGTCAAAGATTTAAATGTTTAATCAAACTAACACAGGAAGATAACAGAAGCAGGGAAGCTTATCATTGGTTTATCAGTTCTAAATTCTCTTAAAATAACAAAAAATAACCTGCTTCATGTTATTTTATATTTTATTTACAAGCGTCTTAAACATAAATGTTATATGGAAAGAAATACACTAATTGCAAGCGTTAGGGGTACAGAAGCACATTTTTCTTTCTGGTTTTCTGTATAATCTAAACTTTTAGAATAAAGAGCAGTTCTTTTACGATGAAGAAAACATTTTAAATAAAGAGAATAGATCACTAAAAGCTAGACATCAACACTTATAAGACAAAATTTTTCAAAAGGCTTGTTCTATTTTAACATTAGCAACACAATTCAGTAAACAATTACAACTTTCCCTCTAGCACACATTTGGCAAAATGGAAATAACCACCAAAAGTATTTTTTAAGAAAAGAAAAATAATGTGTTTATTATACTTATGAACATGAACTTATATTTGAACATACACAGATAAATTGCATTGAAGGCCCTTAGTTATCTCACCCCAACTGACATTGCCTGTTTTATCTCTATATATTTCCATTCAATACTATCCAGATCAGATTCTCTTACATGCCTAGCGCTTTTTCACATATATTCTTTGCTTATTCTGAGCCCCCACTAATAATAAATAGTATTTTTCTCTTTTGCACATATCTGACTCTATCTGTCTTTTAAAGTCTGGACTATAAATGCTTCTCCCTTGTGAGGTCTATTTTAGATTCTCTCTCTCCTCCTTCCTCTGAGCTCTCCTATGCAGTATTTTAATATTTTTCACTTTGCGTGTTATCCATACTTTTCTTAACGTTTTTAATGCCCTTAAAACTCTGTAAGATCCTTGGGACTAAGAATAAGGTCTTATCCATCTGTGTATTCCATACAAGTGACTGGCAGAAGCTTCTGTTCATAGTCAGTGGTCAACAAATATCTGTTGAATAAATTACTTAATACTGGTAAAAATTGAAGAACACATCTAAACAAGAGGGGAAAAAAACGAATGGCTCTTAGGATTCAGTTCCCATGAATTTACAAATCACAATGGTTTTTAAATTAATTCAAACACACAGAGGATAAGGAAGATAAATTTATAATAGGCAGTATTAGTTTGGATAAACACTCATTAGATTGAGTTGAAAATGAGATTTAATATGCATTGTTCTAAGTTCTAAGCTTCTGAGAAGAACATACTGAAGACATTCAGATAAGAATGGGAATTACACAGTTGGGTGCTAAAAGTATATTCTGATATACCAGAGCAGGTGTTTATCTCAATCTGCTGAAAAAAGTATTAGGAAACCAGCCTGAGAAGAATAACACGCTACTAAAAATGACAAGGCTTTATCAATATCTGTGCATGAATGTTATGTAAGTGAAAACACATTTGGTATAACTGAAATCTCTGAACTAACTCAGGATACTCAGATACCAGCAAATGGCTCATTTCCCTTTTGTGTCTGTACTATGCTGTCACAGTGCCTTAGGAAGAGTGAGTCCTTGTCATTAAACAGTTTCCTGTTTAGTTTACCCAACAGGAATATTTCTACCATAAACCAGTCTCAGAGAAAATGAATGAAATCAGTACAGGTCTTTTTAACACAAACAAATGTTCCTCAAAAAATCAACACTTAACTTAAAAAGAAAAAAAAATCAGACAACTTATTTGCATATTAACAAATATGCTTTTTACATGCTAATAGCTCCTAATGAAGAGAACAATCAGTGGTGACATAAGAAGCAAATCAACAGGTGAACAACAAAAATGTAAACCACAAGACTAGTGTATAAATTTGCTAATTTTTAATAGATAATATATTAAAAATTCTCAAATCGTTACACTTAATGAGCAGGAAAAGGGCACAGAAAATATGAAACTGATAATCCAAAATGAAAAATACTTATCTGACTTTAGCAGGCATTAAGTAATTTTTAATATTCTGACCTTGCAAATCTTCTTAGCTTATCATATTTTAAAACACTGTTAAAGAGTGAAAAGGTACAGGGAGAAGCCAGGGATCTGATGTCATTGATAGTGTAGTGATTGACAGAAAATGTTTCTCTAATATAAAAAATGTATTTCATGGGTATTAGCATTTATTGGATCATGTAACACCAACGATATAACTGGAAGTAATAAGTGTAATAATAGCATAAAAACAAAAATCTTTAAATGGCCTGCAATTCACTATATGGTCTGATGCCCACCCATCTCATCAACCACATACTGTGTAACTCACTCTGGAATTCTGCCCTCTCATAATTCTTGAGCATACCAGGATTCTCACTCAAGGCCTCTGTATATACTTGTCTCTCTTACTGATCCACTCTCCCATAGCCCTGTGCTCATTCTTTCTGCTTCTTTTCTCATTCTGCTACTCATTCTTCTTAGTTACATATCACATCTGGATAAAATAATTAATTACATGATAGTCATTTAATTCCACTCTTGCCCATTGAACAGCTTCATGATGGCCAGGTCCATAACTGTCTTATTCAGTTATGATGTCTCTAACATCTAGCATAGCAGAAGACAGAAAACATTCAACAAGTGTTTGGACAACGAAACGAATAACAAAATACACGAATACTCACATATATATGTACTACAGTTACCTACATTAAATCTTAAATAAACTGCACCACTATTACAAAATTTACTTCATAGAATCTTAGCATTTTAGAACTCAAGGGACCTTAGACATCATGCAGTCAGACACCTTCATTTTTCAGATAAGAAAATAAGGGCCAGAGAGGATAAATGAATAATCTAAGGTCACATACAGCTAATGAGCTATAGATCAAAGCAAGAATCCAGATCTCCTGACTTCCAAGTCAGGCATTACTCTACCTCCTCTGTCACAACTAAATCTTAACAGGGATGGGAAAAAAATGTATTAATAAATGTCTATAATTTTGACAGTTTTGTGATAAAATATTTTTTAAAACTTTCAAAATACTTTGGAAAAGTCTTTCCTCATATTTAATATCCACATATTAAATGTTAAAACTTACTTGAAATGAAAGCTAAACTGAAAAAAATGCCTCATATGGAGGAAGGGTCAATCAGAGCATGTGTATTCCTGCAAACAGTATCATTAGTCTAGCAAATCCAGAATTAAAATTTTGTTAAAATTCATTTTAATGTTTTAGGAACTTCTTTTAATTCAAATATAGAGCTAACCTAAAGGCAACAAGCAAGTGACAAAGAAGAAAGGTGTAAGAATTGAATTAGAAAATTAATTCTTTTATGCAAAAAGTCTTACCTTTGATTTTACTTTAATCTTTAACCTTAATACTATAAACTCTAAAATAAATAGCCTAATTGGACCTCCCAAATGATCAGCATTCGTGGATTTTAAACCCAGAAAGAATTTAAAGATAATTGTGACCTCAGTCTTCTCATCATTACATTTTAATCAGGAGAAACCTTAACTTACCATTATTAACATCCTCTATTATCTGACAAGTACTAATTAGCTAGTATAGCTCTATTCTATTTTAATGAATACCTATTTAAAATATATTTCAATAGCAGAAAAGACCTTTCATATGTCAGTTAGGTAAAATACGAATATCTAATATATTGTACATGTTTTGTT